AGAAGCAAAGCATGAAAGTGCTTTTGTCTAGTCTCCTTTAAAACTGCTAATAATTCCCAACAAATCAAGCAGGCCAAATCCCTAATCCCTTTACCAGTAGGGCCACCCACCCTTTTGATTCATTAGATTACATCTCTCTCTCTCTCTCTCTCTCTACCGCCTCTGACCTCAAAAGCAAGAAAGAGATCCATAAGTACTTTTGCACAAAAGCAGTAAGCAGCTGTTAACCACAGTTCGTTCCTCCTCCTAGTCCATAGCATTGGGACCAAAGCATCTTCTTTTCACAGGGTTCCAAATCCACTGTACCAGAAACTTCCTTCCTTTCACCCCATTCACATTGAACCCATTTCCCCATTTGTCCTTTGAAACAACCCCTACATACCCTCCACCCCCACCACTCCCATACACCCCCATACACAAGTCTGCAATTTCTGTCGGTGCTGTCGGATCATCACCTGCGTACCACGCATTCACAAGCGGGTTACTCGATACCTCCGCTAGCTCATGAGCTATCACACTTATCATCCCATCAGCGCCCGCGTCCCCATTGGGCGCGCGCATAATGTTGTTGCCTCCAGGTGTGCCTGGTGGCGGCCGGCCTGAATACTTGGGCCAGGCAAAAGGGTAGGCGCAGACGCCCGGACACTGACTCCCGCTATAACCCACCCATGCATACGGCACAGTCACACCAACTAGGGTTGGAAATGTGAAGTAGTGAAAACCACAAACCGCCCTGCAGAAGTCTTGAACCCTAACATCAGAAGAGCTCAAAATTAAGTAGACCCCGTTTCTCGGGTTGAGAGGCAAGGCTCCTGGATGCGAAGTGACGGCATTTTTTATGATGGACTGCATCGAAAGGCGGCTGAGATAGCTTCCATGGGAGTAGGAAGAATCGTAAAACTCGCCGGAGAGAGCAATGGTTCTAGTGATGTTTGAGCCAGTCTGGTCAGTGTAGAGCCTCACAGTGCTCCACCAATCGGCAACAGAAGGGTACGGGGCAGGAGAAGAGAGAGAGTAGAGGAAGTCTCTAACGGTGGATTGGTGATTAGGGTTCCACTGGCCATACCATATAACATAAAGGTTGATAGGAGAAGCAAGGACAGGACCCATGTGGTACTGAAGGTCCACCAGATCAGATGAACCCTCGTAGTTTTTGGCCTGGTTGAATTGTCTGTTTTGGCTCCATGAATATTGAGCCAAAGTTGTGGAGAAAAAGAGGGAAGAGAGGAAGAAGAAAGTGCAAAGTTGCAGGTTTTGCATCTTTAATGGTATGTGGTGTTTGTGGGTGGTGAGAGTGGGAGGTTCTTATAGATAGAGAAAGTTGAAACCAATGAAAGTAAATAATGGGGTGGGTGGTGATGAGCAGTTTTTTGCATGTTTGCATAATTTCAAGGTCTTGTCTACTTTTTAATGATAACTATGCTGTTCACATTTTCTTTTCTTTATGGGAGCCTTTTTCTCTTATTTATTTTTTACAATAGAATCTAAGAAATTAATGAAGAATTGTTGCTTAATTACGATTTAGTGGTATTTCTTTACCTTTGTAAGTGAGAGATTTTATGTTTGATTTTTACAAATGCAACTTTAAACCACATTATTATGACTAGCTCAATGTGAGGCTTAGCCTACTCTAGAATTAAGTAACATAAATAAATGAATAATAAGGAGTTTTGTATTCTATAGTTTGGGTTTTAAGTGTTTCTTACTAACATGATTAGGTTTAAGAGACTAATTAATTAAATAAAAAGAACTCTCTAATATTCTTATTCCCATATTAATTAGAATAAAGGTGCTATACTAATCAACGTGTTTATGTATAAAGCCTACACTTAGGGTAGAAGATTGGGATCGTAAAAGAATCTGTTTGTTTGTCCCCAAAACAGTTATTATGGCACTAATTTTTATATATGATTCTCTCTTTCTCTTAGATTTTTCTTGTCTTTCCATGTAATTTGATACTTCCTTTGGGTTTGTGTATGATGATAACCTTGGTTATTGTCAAACCTTCACATCTTCTTTTAACACAAAACTTATGCTTCAGTAGTTGGCCACATATTATGGTTCTTGCTCATAAACTAAATTATCATTTGGGTAATATAAGCAACCTGATTATCTTCCAATGATTTAAAAAATCACTATTTATTTCAGTTTACCCTAACAATTGATAATATTTGGTGAAAAACGCTTAACGAGTTGAACAAAAGAAAAAGGGAAGAAAAAAAAAACCCCGCTTAGCTGATAGGCTATAGTAGTTAGGTACAATAACAATCAGGTGCATAAATTTTTTTCTTTCTTCGAAACGGAGGTTTAAGTGCTTTTGATGTTTGAACTAATCAAGAGCTTTTTAAGCACTGCCAATTATCCTTAAAGAAGAATCGTCCCACACGGTTTTCTATCTTTTTTAAATCAAAAGTTAAAACATTCACCAAACTGTGATTAGATTAGGATTTAGGATAAAGTTGTTCACAAGAATAAAGAAGAAGAAGAAGAAAAATGATGAGGGTCAAAACCAAGTGTTAAAAAAATGAATGATGGGTGTGGTAAAAAGCAAAGTATGTGATGCCTTTCCATAATTTTCTCCCTTTTCGACTACACCCCTTCCTTTTCATGATCATTGACTATATATGTTCTTCGTTTGGTTAATAAATCAAATGCATGTTGCAGTGTTTTCTTATGAAATTCCTCAGAAAAATTCAAAGACCAAATTGTTTTCTTTCTCAAAAAGTTAATTTATGTAAACCTATAGTAGTTAATAGCAGCAAGAAACACTTAAAGAATTAAATTGCAAAAAAAAAAAAAAAAATAGCATATCAAATATATAATGGATGTTGCAAGAGTTTTTTTTCTCCTTCAAAACAATGCTTCAAGTATTTTAACTGTGAAAAAAGAGTTTTGAAGAGCTGTGAATCATGCATATATAAATGTCTATCAAAATATCAAAAGTTTATGGTTAAACGCATTTGCATCATGCAAAGGTGGGAGCATTGCACATATTCAACTCTCATCAGCCCTTAAAAATAGGGCTGGATTGGATTCTTAAAGGAAAATGCTCAAAAGAAGGGAACTGTGTGTTGTTGGCTTGCTGCCACTTAATCATCACAAAGGTCTTCCACTTGAGTGTCAAATGCCCCAATGCTTTTCGGAGTAGGATTCTCTCACCTTCTATTCTCATCTCATGCTCTCCCTTCCTCTCACACTTTATTTTTTGTCTTATTGTCTTTATAAAAAAAAAATCAGTATAAGATGATGTGACCGTTCAAGTAAGATGGGAGAGAATCTTCAATTTGGTTTATTAATTCAAGTAGGAGGGAAGAGAAGAAGAGAGAGATTAGGAGGGGATAATCCTCCATGCGTTTCAGATACCCTTGCGAGAGGCACTCAATTTGGTTTATTAGGTCATGTCTTGCACTTTTTCATGGACTGTTTGAATGGAAGGTTTATTGATCTGAAATGTCACAATGCAACACTAGAAATATGATAATTCTCCTGTGAATTGTGCCAATCTCATGTACTGGAGGTTTTTCATGTTTGGAAGTACTTTTAAAGTTCTAAAAACGCTTGTAGCATTTTATACATTGAAAGTGCTTCTTGCAACATTGGTAGAAAAACTTAAAAACACTTTTTGTGATAATCACATGTTACGTGTTTTCCTAGAAGCAAGCTATTTTAATTAAAGCACTTATAAACAGAAGTGACTCATATTGCAATAGTATATACAAACTTAGAAGTATTTTATAAACGTAATTGGATTATAATTTTTTTAGTGTGCTTCTACAGTAAGCTCTTTTGAAGTGCTTCTAATAAAATGCAATCCTACACAAACATCAAACATATTTACCATATAAAAGGGAAGAACAACAACAATTAGGATTCATATCATATCATAGGATTCAAGTGAGATCAGCTATTAGGATTCATATCATAGGATTCAACGTGAAGAACAAAGTGTCAGTTTTCGACTACCTTACACACATTCCCTCTCCTTCTTTATCCGGGCTTGGAACTAGCAACGTAAGATAAACTTACACGGGGTGGAGTTTACCATATAAAAGGGAGCACAATGAGAAATTAAAAGCTAGAGCACGACACTCTGAGATAAATTTACACATGCGGAATTTACCATATAAAAGGGAGCATAATGAGAAATAAAAATCTAGTGCACTACAGTCTGAGATAAACTTAGACAGGAGAAGTTTACCATATAAAACGAAGCATAATGCAAAAATAAAAATCTAGTGCACTATATATGTTCATTACAGCATCATAAGTGCCCCCAAGAGAATAATTACAATGGATTATGGTGGGTTCTTTTGTCCTTTTCACTATATCTAGAAATGGTGGTTGGATGGATCTTGGAATATCTTAATTTTCTTGTAAATGAATGTGATTTAGTTAATGTTGTCATTACATTTGCTATAAAACTATTCATTGCTAATGAAAGGTGAAATGTACCTTGAAATTTTTGGAAGTTCACATGCAAATTAAATAATAAAGTTAGGTATATATTCAGTATTAAAACAAAACCAACATTTTTGTATTGTGAGCTCAAATCCAGTCACATTTTTTTCTTACATATGAATTTAGGGTAGTGCTATCAACATATGCAGTTTTCGGTCGTCAAAATGAATAAATTAATAAAGATCAATAGAAAAATTAACAAGACCATGTGAGAGGTAACAAATGATGTGTGAATAGTATTATCCTAAATTTAACTTATACTTTCACATTGTATGTATTAGTGTACTAGAATTAAAATAATCAATCTGATCCGAAAAGAGTGAATAATACACAATTTTACATCAACAGATTCAAATCTATAAAATTACAAAAATTAATTGCAGCCATAAAACCAAAAACAAATAATAAAAAAAAGTTTTGATTGCTAGAAATATGTTCATCAAAGAAAAGCCCAATATTCAAATTCGTCCAGGCCCGGCCCGTCCAAATTAATGAAAATAATAATTCAAAAGAAGAAAAAAAACTTGAAAGCTACGAATATTGGTGGGCAGTAGAACCAAACGAACTGTGAAGCTTCATGGTTTCTCTGCGAATTCTGAGAACCCAAGAACTCCAACTGAAGCTATTATCCCCTGCTTCAACCCCCATTTCTCTATTCTACACCCTCTTCTCTCTCAGAACACTCTCTTCTTACAGTCACTATGACGACCCAAACTCTGCAACCACCACCGCCATCGCCGCCGCCGCCGCTTCTTCTCAATCGCAGTCACTTGTCAGCTCGATCTGCTCATTGGTATACCAATCCTATTCCCCGCAAACCCATCTGAGATCTTCGCCTCCGAAGCTCAATCTCGACTTAAATCCTGAATCTTTGACCCACGAGCAGGCCATTTCCGTCGTTGCTTCACTGGCTCAGGAAGCAGGTTCCATGGCGGCGCTGAGTTTCTTTTACTGGGCAATTGGGTTTCCCAAGTTTCGATATTTCATGCGGCTTTACATATTCTGCGCAATGGCGATACTTCGCAATGGGAATCTGGAGAGAGCCCATGAGGTGGTTCATTGTATGGTGATGAATTTCGCTGAGATTGAGAGGTTGAAGGAGGCTGCTGACATGGTCTTTGAGATACAGAATCAGGGTCTTGCGTTGAGTTCTCGGACGTTGAATTGTGTTCTTGGGATTGCTTGCGATTTGGGTTTGGTTGAGTATGCAGAGAATCTGTTCGAGGAAATGTGTGATAGAGGTGTGTCTCCTGATTCCTTGAGCTATAAGTCTATGGTTGTTGGGTTTTGTAGGAACGGGAGGGTTTCAGACGCGGATAGGTGGTTGGGTAAGATGCTCGAGAGAGGTTTTGTTTTGGATAATGCATCGTTTACTTTGATCATAAACATGTTTTGCGAGAAGGGTCTTGTAGGTCGAGCGTCTTGGTGTTTTGATAAGATGATTAGGATGGGTGTGAAGCCGAATTTGATTAATTTCACGACGATGATTAATGGGTTGTGCAAGAGGGGCAGCATTAAACAAGCATTTGAAATGTTGGAGGAAATGGTGAGGAAAGGTTGGAAGCCGAATGTGTATACACACACAGCATTGATTGATGGGCTCTGCAAGAAAGGCTGGACTGAAAGGGCGTTTAGACTGTTTCTTAAGCTTGTCCGGAGCGATAATCACAAGCCAAATGTACATACATATACTGCTATGATTAATGGATATTGCCAAGAGGACAAAATGAGCCGCGCGGAGATGTTATTGAGCAGGATGAAAGAACAAGGATTAGTTCCTAACACCAACACGTATACTTCTCTAGTTTCAGGGCATTGTAAAGCTGGGAACTTTGAAAGAGCATATGAGTTGATGGATATAATGGATAAAGAAGGATTCCCTCCTAATATCTATACATACAATGCAGTAATTGACAGTCTCTGTAAAAGGGGGAGGGTTGAAGAAGCAAATAAACTGATTAGGAAGGGCTTTCGCCGAGGATTGGCAGCTGATAGGGTCACGTATACAATTTTCATATCTGAGCACTGCAAACGGGCTGATATTAATGGGGCCCTGGTGTTTTTTACTAAGATGGTGAAGGTTGGATTGCAGCCTGATATACATTTGTATACAACTTTGATTGCTGCCTTCTGCAGGCAAAAGAAAATGAAAGAAAGCGAGAAACTTCTTGAGTTTGTTGTCAGGGCTGACTTGATTCCCACCAAGGAAACCTATACATCCATGATTTGTGGGCATTGTCGGGATGGAAATATTGCTTCTGCTATTAAGTATTTCCAAAGGATGGGTGACCATGGTTGTGCGCCTGATAGTATTACTTACGGTGCTCTGATAAGTGGGCTCTGTAAGGAGGAGAAATTGGAAGAGGCTCGTAGGTTATATGATACCATGATGGACAAAGGGCTATCGCCCTGTGAAGTCACTAGATTTACATTAGCTTACAAGTACTGCATGAAAGATGACTCTGCCGCTGCTATGGTTATGTTGGAAAGGCTAGAAAAGAAGCTCTGGATCCGCACAGTGAATACATTGGTCAGGAAGCTTTGTAGTGAGAAGAAAGTAGGGATAGCAGCATTGTTCTTTCATAAATTAGTAGACAAGGACCAAAACGTGGACCGTGTGACATTGGCAGCGTTTATGACAGCATGCTATGAGAGCAACAAGTATGCTCTCGTTTCAGATTTGACTGAGAGGATCTCTAAAGGAATTGGCTAGCAGCTGAAATATACCGAAAACTGGCTCGTTTTATTGGCTACCAAAATCTGGTGGCCTTCAGAAGTTGGACTGCTGAAGCAGGTCTCCCTTTCATCGGTGATGGCAGCGTTGCCATCTCCATTTGTAAGTGAAAGGGTCGAAGCGCAACCGGCAGGCTAAGCCAATGATTCTTCCTGCTTCCGCCATGCAATCTTGTTGGATTTTGCCTTCTTGTTAAGTTGGAGAAAGGGATTGTTTTTCACTTTGTATCCTTTGTACTGAGGTAAAGCATAAATGGCTTGAAGGGATTTTACATTAATCAGCAGTGTTTGAATTTATGGCATATACTTCACAAGGGTAATGCTAGAGAGACTAAATTTTGAGACGAAGTTTTGAAAACTAAAGGACATGAAAATTGATGATTGATTTATTACTTAAACGTTGATAAACGTCCTTATTCTTGTTAGTGACACATCATTTAGTCTCCATAGCATTACTCACTTCACAATAACGTTACGGAAAATGATTTTCACACTTTTTTTTTTCTCAGTTTGCTTGCCCGTGTTAATCTTTGAAGTGTTTTGAGATTTAAAAAAAAAATTGTATAATTTATGTGGCACTATATTATTGGACTTTTGGGTAATGTATTTTGCCACATCAGCTTACTAACATAAACATTAACGGAAGTCTAACAAAAGGACCAAATTGATCGATTTGGTTAATTTCAGAATCCATTTACGATTAAAACCTCTTAACTCCCACTTAGAAAGCCCCACGTGCCATTCACGTGTGACGCAACAGCTTACGACTTCGACCCAACAGCTTACGACTTCGACGCAACAGCTTAAGACTTCAATCTTCAAAGCGTTGATTCATGGCACATTGGCTTATTGGCATATATAAATATATATACGACGCAGACAAAGAGGAAACAATACACCGAGAAGACTTCCAAAATTTGTATTTATAGCCACGGAGCTACATCTCCTTCTCCCAGTCTCTCCCGTCAGATCCCCCCCTTGAAGTTGAAGGTAACTATATACTTTTTTTCATTTATTTAGAGTCGTCGGTTTGATAACCATTTCAGTTTTTATTTTTGAAAACTAAAAACTCGTTTGGTAACTGTTTATGGTCGTTGAAGAAAAAACATTACAATTCTTTTCAGTTGGATTTCATCTGAGTTTTAGTTGCTTGTTTCGTTGATCGATTACTGTAGGTGTTCTTGTGTTTTCTTAAATTGATTCATTTGGTGATTGTGAATTGTTCAGTAACTCTACAGAACTGGAAACCAAATATGAACAGGATTAGTTAGAACTTTTTCAAGAAATATTATTCGGTGGGTTAAGAATTTTACATAGATCGTCCGTTGACTACGAAGAACAAAGAGTGTGGCTTAAGTTCCATAGTCAGACTTTGGAAGGGTAAAAATTTCCTTTGAGTTCTAATCAAGGTTTGACTTTCGAGTTGTAGCTGGATTGAAGACAGTAGGATGATATATATGCTTCAAGTCATACAATTTTAATCAAACGATAGGAAGGGAAACTGATTTCTTCGTGTGTTTGATTCTTCAGACCGCTATCAGATGGCTCAAACTACGGAGATATCACAATCCGGTGCATTTTTGAGAACTGCTTCTGTGTTCCGTAACTTCATTTCACGGGACCCAAATTCGCAGTTTCTGGCAGAACCTGGGAGATATCATCTGTATATCTCGTATGGTTGCCCTTGGGCTTCTAGGTGCCTCGCATACTTGAAAATCAAGGGACTTGAGAAAGCCATCAGCTTTACGGTATAGCACTTTATATTAGATTATTACTTAATAGATTTTCATTGTATGAGACAAATTAATCTTGTATATCTGCTTGTTTTGCCCAGTCAGTCAGACCAACATGGGGAAGAACAAAAGAAACCGATGAGCATATGGGGTGGGTGTTTCCTGCTTCCGATACCGAGGTAGTTGGAGCTGAACCGGACCCTTTGAACGGGGCAAAAAGTATTAGAGAACTTTACGAACTTGCAAGCTCACAGTATACCGGAAAGTACACAGTTCCAGTATGTTCACTCATATTATGTGGCCTTTTCAATTTTTTTTTTCCCCTTCGCTGTTGTTATTCTGGTTGTTCCTCTCTTAGATTTTTGACTTTTTCTGTAACTAAGTGATCGATCTTTTTACTTTTGTAGGTTCTATGGGATAAAAAACTTAAAACAATTGTCAACAACGAGAGTGCAGAGATTATTCGTATGTTTAATACTGAATTCAATGATACAGCTGAAAACGCATCTTTGGACTTGTATCCTTCTCACTTGCAATCTCAAATCGATCAGACGAATGAATGGATATATGACAAGATAAATAACGGTGTCTATAAATGTGGGTTTGCGAGGAAACAGGAGGCTTATGACGAGGTATATTTTGCAAGCTGTAATTACGAATGTGCAGGTTCTGATGTTTACATTCTCTTTAAGGACTATTTGTGCCATCTCAAATTCATTGGTTTATCTTTCTCTTCCCAGGCTGTGAAAGAATTGTTCGAAGCTTTGGATAAATGCGAGGAGATACTTAGCAAGCAACGATACTTGTGTGGGAACACATTGTCTGAAGCAGATATTCGGTTGTTTGTCACTCTTATAAGATTCGACGAGGTACTGATACTTGTTTCCTCAATCAGGATTTTATATTGTCAGAAAATTCTGCCAATTTCTTCTGCACCCACGTCGTTACATTGTCTTTAACGATACAATTTTTCCCATTGATGGCAGGCTTACGCAGTCAACTTCAAGTGCAACAAGAAACTGCTACGAGAATACCCGAATTTGTTTAACTACACGAAAGATATCTTCCAAGTTCCTGGAGTGAGCAGCTCTGTCAACATGGATCACATAAAGCGAGGTTATTACACCATGGCGGCTATCAATCCCTCCGGAATAATTCCTATTGGCTCAAATATCGATTACTCTTCTCCTCATGACAGAGACAGGTTTTCTACATAGTTTGTGTACACTGCAGCTTGCAGACCAATAAACTACATATCGTTTGTGTGTTGAGGTTGTGCGTTTTTGTTCTCTTTGTAACGTGTGCTTTTGTACTTTCGAATCTTGCATCTTAACTTTTGTCAATAGGAATTGAGCTCTATCTAGTTATATATCATGCATCTCTCTCGCTCAAAATACAAGTTACTAAATACTATTTGTTGATGCACAAAACCGGAAGGGTCTTGGAACAACATAAATCCGACCGTGAATCTGCAAGAAAGTAAAGAACGCAAGATGTATCGTGGTTTACCCCAATGTTTGGGCTACGTCCACACTGATGTTGATATTGTTTCACTCTGAATGGTGAATATACAAGAAGGCTAGAGGCAGTGTGCTCTCTAGCCTATTTTCTGTGTTTTCCATCTCTGAGATGTTTTCTCTCTTCCCATGGCCTAAACCTTGACCTCCTCTAATTAAGAGAGTGAGGAGTCCTTCTATAGAATAAGGATTCCTCACTTATTACATATTTGCCCCTTCATTTATTACATAATTACATTTGAGTCTCCCGAGTATTTATACGAGGTCTAAATACGGAGGCCCTAAATATGGTACAAACAATAGTCCCCCAAGTCTTCTGTCAAGAGAGTCTTTTGGCTGGAGACTTGAAATTCAGTCCATATGTGGGCCAAAGTAACTAGATGTCGTATAGAATTGATACTCGATATGAGGTGGTGCTCAATGTGAAATGATGCTCAACTAGAAGTAGCATATGTTGCGAGGCTGCTCGGCTTGTGGCTTATGTTGCCTTGGTTGGCTCGGCTTGTGGCGTTGAAGGTGAGGGAGTCCCTTTTATAGAATAAGGGCTCGATCCTCAATATATAAATGATGGGCTAGAGTTGATGCTCGCGGCGAGGCGGTTGCTCAGCAGGCGGCGATGATCTCTAATGATGGTGAGGGAGTCCCTTTTATAGAATAAAAGCTCGCTCCTCAATACATAAGTGATGGGTTATGAGTGATGCTGGCGGCGAGGCGGTTGCTCAGCTGGCGGCGATGCTATCTAATGAAGATGAAGGAGTCCCTTTTATAGAATAAGGATTCGTTCATCAATACATAAGTGATGGGCTAAGAGTCTCTCTCTAATGAAGGTGAGGGAGTCCCTTTTATAAAATAAGGGTTGACTCCTTAATACATGAATAATGGGTGCTCTCTAATGAAAGTGAGGGAGTCCCTTTTATAGAATAAGGGTTCGCTTCTCAGTACATAAATAATGGGCTAAGTCCCCCAAGTATTTTTCATGAGGCCTAGTTGCGGAAGCCCAATATATGATACATAGTGTAGTCCCACAAGTCTTCAGTCAATAGAGTATGTTGCTTGGAGACTTCAAATTCAATCCATGTATGGGCCGAAGTGGTGGTTGTTCGGATGCGGTCTTTGTATACCATGCACTGAAGCTTTGTAGGTAAAGCTTTGACAGTGAAGTTTTATAGGTAAGGCTTTGAAAGTGAAGCTTTGAAGCTGGAGCTTTTATAAATGAAGTTTTGAAGTCGGAGCTTTGTAAATGAACCTTTCGACGCTGGAGCTTTTGTAAATGAAGCTTTCGAAGCTGGAGCTCTCTAAATGAAGCTTTCGAAGCAGGATTGTAAATGAAGCTTTCGAAGCTGGAGCTCTGTAAATAAAGCTTTCGAAGCTAGAGCTATGTAAATGAAGCTTTCAAAGCTGATTGGCATAAGTGATGCTCATGAATTTTTATGTTGATTAACATGAGTGATGTTCATGAATGTTGACATGAGTGATGCTTATGAATGTTGACATGAGTGATGCTCATGAATGTTTATGTATGATTGACATGAGTGATGCTCATATATAATGGTGATTGTCATGAGTGATACTCATGTATGATTTTTTGGAGGACGGGTTGTACTTTTGATTACCTGGTTGGTGATAATAACGGCAGGCTGCTGAATAATTTTGTAGTACTATACGTACTTTTGATCACCTAGTTGGTGATAATAGCGGCAGACTGCCGAATAATTTTGGAGTACTAGATGTACTTTTGATCACCTGGTTGGTGATAATAGAGGGTGAACCTTAAGTAGAGGGATGAAGGTTTGAGTTTAAAGCCATAGGGCATGGCTCTTTTGGGCATATGGGTCTTCGCCCTCCACATAACATTCCAACCCATTATTTTGGGCTTGCCGACATTTTGCCCCCCTTTTTTTGGCATGTTGCCTTCTTTCTTTATTTATGATTACCCTCTGGTGAGGTTATACAGATGTCTCTAAAAGATAAGAAAAGTAAATCACATTATTCAAAAAAAAAATTGCTGGGACTTGGCAACAACGAGATTTCTCCCTTCACATCAACCTCAGCGGTCCAGCTATTGGAGGAAACCTTCACGTGGAGGCAGGTTTGGTCAGCAGGCATGGTCTCTCATACTTTGATAGTACAATCCCGGGAGTGTTATAG